ATATATATATATATATATATATATCGAGTAACAATGTGGCATGATGAAAACGTTTCTTGTATACGCGATCATTCATCTTTCATTATGATTAATCATTTATAATTATAGTTTATGTTACTCTTTATGTCACTCTCTACATTCATTATTTGACACGTGTATTTCACTGTCTTATTTTTTTTAAATAATAATATATTATTAGAATTTACGTATCAAAAAATAAAATTTAAAAGTGACAAAAAATGATGCTAGTATTTCTCCTCATCTCTATCGTATACTCCCTCCAACTAAATAATGTATTGGTCCTCTTCTCCTTCCCTTCTGATCTCTCCCCAACCAAACACACACTAGCGGTGATTCACAACTTGGCAGCATCTATTTTCTGAGCTATAATGGTTTCGTTTCGGTTATCTCGATGGATTAGGTTGTTTTATATCCTTGTTCAACGGCGAGGAACCTTTTTTTTCAAAGCTAAATATATTGTCCCATCATGGCATAATACTCAACGCTAGAAAATTCAAAAGAGTAATGTGACCGTCACGTAATTTAAACCAAAGATGCTTCACCAACTAGAGAATTAGAAGAAAAAAGTCTTTTAAAGACCGAGTGAGGCTAGAGAGATCAGGAAGGGAAGGAAAGATGGCAGGCTGCGGTCGTAAAGAAATTGTGCCGTTCGCAGCCATGGCCGCCGTAGAGTTGGCCGCGGTCGGCGTAAATACTTTTTACAAAGCAGCCACTTTGGAAGGGCTGAGCTACTTTGTCTTTGTCGCATACTCTTATGTTTTAGGTACTCTTGTTCTGCTTCCTCTTCCCTTCATATTTCCAAGGTAAATAAATATATAAATATACCTCTCTTGATCTCCTTCTCATTAAAGCTTTATAATCACAAGTATTTTTCACTTAATCCATATAATAAATGATAGTGGGTTATATTTGAATTTGGTGCAGGAGGGAACTTCGTTCTTTTGAGCTGTCTTTTTTCTTAAAAATTGTCCTTTTGGGACTAATTGGGTATGGAGATATATATCACTGAAATCCATTATAATTTGATCACGTGATTTAATTTAAGGAAAAACAAAAAGAACGAAAAGAGACTTCTATTTTCCTTATCATGTAGACAACAACTTTTTCTTTTCTTATTCATTTATTCATTCTTTTTTGTTTTGTAAGGCAGGTTTACATGCAGCATATGTGGATGTAAAGG